CGACTATCATGTCGAGCCAGTTCCACGCGTCGCGGAGGTACGAGCGCCGCTCGAGGACGAAGCCCATCGCGATCATCTTGACCAGCATCTCGAACATGAAGAGCGCGAGGAAGATCACCTCCACGTAGTACAGCTCGTCCGCCTGCCGGTCGTACCGCCGCAGCTCGTCCCAGTAGCCAGGCCCGCCGTGGTTGCCCTCGAGCCAAGGGTCGTCGGGGCCGCAGCCGCCTGGGGTGGTGGCGTTGAGCACGAGCTCGCGGTGCGCCCAGTACTGCCACTTGCTCGCCGCGGGCACGCAGATCAGCAGGAGCGTGTTGATCCCAATGAGCAGCATGATGGTCCGGTCAAACCACGGCGACTGCAGCATCGCGATGCAGTGGCGTCGCACCGGAGCGGCGCGGCCGACGCACCAATATACCACCTGCGCGTAGGGCTGCTGGTCCTCCGCCAAGGAGGCCGTGCGCGCCCGCCGCAGCGCCTCATCAAAGAGGGCTGTGCCCTGCCGCTGGGCTCCCGCCGGCGCCGCCTCGCATGCAGGCGGCCCGTCCACGCACAGCGACTCTGAATCCGAGGTCTGGTCGCTCGGCTCCGACTCGACCGTCGACTGGAGTTCCGCCGTCATCATTGCATCGTTACGCGGGTGGCCAGACGTGAAGTGTCGGCCGCGAGGCGGCTCGCTCGCCAAGGGCGAAACTGAAATGTTTTTTGTGCATTCACAGCCTTGTTATTGAGAAGAAAATACGTCCTGTGGTGCCCGCGCTGGCCTCCTGGCGCTGTCGCTCGCAATGACGCGATACGCGCGCTTTTTTTAGTTGTAGGTATGTTGTTGGCAAAGGAAGACACAGAGTTCACTGAATTTTTTTAGCTCCATTTTACACCGATCGTACAACAAACAAACAAAATACCTGCTTTCTTCTTTTTTTAGAAGCCAACAAGAAATATGGCTCTCTTCTTCTTCGTAAATATACGAGCGAAGTTATACGAGCGTCATCTTGTAGTGAACAGGCCGAGTTTGCGGTTTGAGCGCCCAGCGCAGACCGACCGACCGCAGGGGGGGTCCGGTCGACGGCCGCGGAAGACCGCAGACCGGAGGGGGGGTCCGGTCGGTCGGAGCACAGACCGAGGGGGGGGGGGTCGGTCGGGCTGGCTCGAGGGTCACACACACCGCACACCGACGCTCGCCGCAGCTGTGAATAAATTAGTATCTCGAAATACTAGAGACCAAGCGCCCTCTCCCCGTCTAATCACTCCTCGTCGTCCGAGTGGCTGAGCTCGAGACCGAGACGCTCAGGATTGGGTCGGAACACGAGCTTGTCCATGTCCACACTCTGGTCGTCGTCGTCCATACGATTAGTTTCGCCGGCGACACACTGTACCCGTTGACGAGCCGCTTGAGCGCGGCCAGAGCTTGTACAAAGCGACGGCAAGCAGGACCAGGCCTGCGACTGCGTAGATGCTCCACATACACGTGAGTGAGTGACACACACACACACTCACACATACACGTGTGGGGTCGGGCTTGCTCCGGGCCTCGGCGAAGAAGTCTCCTTGGCGCTTGGCTGCGTAACTAGTTTTCATAGTGAAAACCGGCGATTTCGAAGCGCCCGTGGCGGTTCGCGAGAAGGAGGGAGAGAGAGCGTTTGAGGGGGCTCACGGCAAGGACACCGACCGAGGGGGGGGTCGGTCGTCACACCTCCCGCCGCCGAGAGAGCGACCGACCGGAGGGGGGGTCCGGTCCACCTCGGGGGCAGACCACCGACCGGCGGGGGGGTCCCCACGAACTAGGGGGGGTGCGTACAAAATGACGCTCGTATTATACGCGCAGAAATAGAGACAGCGCGCACCCCGCCCCCTCCGCGCCTGTGCGTGTTTCAATTCTTAGTGTACCTGTGTTAGTGCCAGTGCGCTTGTCCCGCCCGCTCCGAGTCGTCGTGCGAAAAGAAACTCTGGCGGAACTTACGGCGTCGTGCCTCAGTCAGGAGGAGGAGGGAGAGACGTGCAGGTCGTTCAACTTGACACCATGAAGCCCTCCAGCACTGTGATGGCTGTGGGCCTCTACTGTGCGTGCTCGTCGTCCATGCTCATCGTCAACAAGCTCGCCGTCGCCCACATCCGCGCGCCCGCCTTTGTCACCTTTGCGCAATTCGCGGCGACGGCGTTGGCAGTCAAGGTGGCGCACATGGCCAACTTTATCGAGGTGGACAGCTTTGACTCTCGAAAGCTGATGCACTTTTCCATCTACGTCTTCGGCTTCGCAGCCGGCACGTGGACCAACATGCGGGTGCTGATGACGACCAACGTCGAGACGGTGATCGTCTTTCGCACCATCGCGCCGCTCGCCGTGGCCGTGTTTGACTATGTGTTCCACGGGCGGGACTTGCCCTCCTTGCGCTCGTGCCTCGCGATGGGCATCATCGTGGCGGGCGCCCTCTCGTACGTCCTCAACGACAAGTCCTTTGCGGTGAGCGGGCTGCGCGCCTACGTTTGGGTCGTCGTCTGGCTCTGCTTTCTGATCTTCAACCTGACGTACGGAAAGTACCTCGTGTCGGGGCTCGGCGTGTCGAGCTGGACGGCGGTGCAGTACAACAACACCCTCTCGATGCTCCCCACCCTCCTCTTCGGCCTCCTCGGCGGCGAGGTTGACAAGCTGCAAGCTGTCGAGTGGACGACGCGCGGACTGCTGTGGCTAGCCGCCTCGTGTGTGGTGGGGCTCGGTGCGCCCCTCCCCTGTCCGGGCTCCCAGCAGCACGGCCGGCCCCACGCCCGCGCCCGGCCCGACGCGACGAGCACGACCCGCGCCCAGCCGCTTCAGCCGGCCCCTCCCAGCCCGGACGACGGCCCGCGCCGCGGGCATATGGAAAGTACTCCGATTGATAGGCATCTCATACGCCGGCTTCAAGTGCCAGTCGCTCATCTCGGCGACGAGCTACACCATCATCGGCGCGCCCGATGCGGCCGCGGGCGACGCCCCTCCCCGCCCCGCCCCCCCGCGCCTCACCCCTCCCTCCGCCGCCCCGCCGCCTCCCTCCCCGCCCCGCCGCAGGAGTGCTCAACAAGATGCTCACAGTGCTCGTCAACACGCTGATGTGGGACCAGCACGCATCCGCCGCAGGCATCGCGTCGCTCCTCGTCTGCCTCGCCGGAGGCGCGCTCTACCAGCAGGCGCCGCTCCGCTCCGACGGGCCGGAGCGGTCCGGGCTCCTCAACGCAAAGGAGGAGAGCGACTTGCCTCCTTTTCCGTCGGGGCCGTCGCTGAGCGACAACCTGCACCACCGCTGCGACGTTGACTCCCCGGAGGACTTCTCGGAGTCGGTGCGCTCCGAGGCCGCCCGCGCGTCGCCGCCATCAAGTTAGGAGGCGCGGGGCGGCGGGACATGTCGTCTTGCTGGTGGGCGTGCGGCGGCTGCAGGAACCGGCTGCAGGGATCTGCAGAAATCGGCAAATCACTCGCGTGGTGTGGGGAAGAGTGCCCTCGGGTGTACGTTCGCGTTTGTGGGTGGCGGGCTGGCGCATGTACTCGGTCGCTCGTTATTGCGTGAGTGTTTCGGGCGGGGGGGGAAAAGAAAGAAAGAAAGAAAACAGACAACCCAAGGGAGGGATGGGAGGACGGCACGCCGCCACCACACAGGGATTTTAAGGAGAGGTGTGTGGTGCGCTATCCGTCGCCCACCCTAGGGAGTCTGCCTCTTCCTATCTCTCTTCGCAGTCTCTCGCCGATTCTCGCTGCAACCTTCATGCCACCTCGCGGTCGTCCCACCCTCGTCGTTCTCTCCCTTGTCACTTCCTCCTCTGTCGCGTCGTTCTCTTCTGCCTCGTCCTGCGACGCCGCCGCCTGCCGGTCCCTTGTTCTCGCGGCTTCTTTCGCCTTTCGGCGCAACTCCGTCCTCCTCGCGGCGTATCCTGGCCCCTCGAGTCTATCGAGCTCCCCTCGCGCAAGGACCACATTTCTGACTCCCACTCCGATCATTTGCCTACAGGTCATGTTGTTGCTCAGGTCCACTCTCTCTTCGAACAAAGAAAGGAAGTTGCGTGTGAAAGGTATTTTCTTCTCAATAACAAGGCTGTGAACCTGCCCGCGCGCCCGAAAGAGGCTTGCGGCCGCGCGCGACACAGGCGCCGGGACAACTCTGTGGACAATGCTCCGCGGACGTGGCCTCGCGCTCCGCTCGTCTCGCGCGCTCTGCGCGGTAGCGGCGCCGGCACCGGCACCGGCAGCGGCGGCGGTTGCCGCGCCAAAGGTCAGCGCACCGGCGGTGGCCGACAAGATTGCGGAGCGGTTCCGCACGAGCAATCGGGGCGATCGCTGGCGGCGGCCGCCGCGCAAGTGGCTCAACCAGATCATCCTCGCAACGGAGGAGCGAGCCGAGGCGGACAGGCTGGTTGAGGCGTTCTCGGCGTACGTGGACGCGCAGGTCTCTATCCGGCGGTGGCAGCAGGTCGGTCTGATCGCCGCGCTCTGCCGCACGCGCAGCTGGGACGCCCTTCTCGATGTGCTGCAGCGGCGGCGGCGACTTCAACTTTTCCTCGAGCAGCCAAAGCCGCTCGCGGCGGCCGTGCGCGCTCTCGCTGACGACGGAGCGTGGGAGCAGCTCGCAGCGCTGTCGCGGCTGCTGCCGTCCGTGCTGGAGCCGTTCGCCCCAGCGCCGGGCGGCGTGCAGCGGCTCGCGCTCCGCCGACTCGCGGCGGGCGCGCCCGACCCCTCGCTCGCGCTCTCGGCGCTGCAGCAAGCGGTCGAGGACCGCGCCCCGCTCAAGCCGGATGTGTTTCTCGCCGTGGGGCGCGCGCTTCTCGCCGCTGGGAGGGCTGCCGATGCCGCCGAGGCGCTGCGCCTTGCGAAAGAGGCGGGCTCGACCGCGGTCGCGGCGGGCGGCGGGAGGATGGTTTGCTCGCCGAAGCCGGGCCGCGCCCTCGAGCTGCTGCAGGCGGACGTGGCGGCGGCGCTTCAGACGGTCGATGCCGAGGCAGCACCAGAGGAGGGGGAGGCGGCCGAGGAGGCGGCAGAGGCGGAGGCTGGCGAGTCCGCGACAGAGGACAAGGCGAAGGCGTAGCCCAAGCCGCTTCGTCCTCGCCCGCCAAAGCGCGTGACCCTCGACAGCAACCATTGTTGTGGGTTTGACCGTCCGGCGTCCGCGGTGAAACGGGCGTTTGACGGGCCCCTCTCCCGCGTCCCGCAAGAGACACCCCCGTCGGCGGGTGTTCGCGCTGTCCGCTAAAAGCGTGACACACTAATCACAATGATCTATGTGTGGAGCGCATGATTGTGTCCGGTGCTCGACTGCGAGCTACAATAAAACCGTGGGAAAATGGATAACGGGCCCACACGCCACCGTTCATCCGTGACCGTGTCGCTTTACTCTCATTCAGTCTTTGAGTCTCCGCTTTTCGATTCCCGCACGACCAGCGCGGGTTGAGTCCGAAACCTCGCGCGCCCCGTCAGATCGCCACCTCATCAGGCACCGTACTCGAGCCACAAGTCTTTGACGTACGACTTGTCAAAGACTTGCGAGCAGCCCGGGCACTTTCGCTCGCGCAAGCTGAGGCGCGAGTCGATGCAGTCGCGGCAAAACGCGTGGCCGCACTTTGTGATGACGGTGTCCTTGTTGCTGTTCTTGCAGAGCGGGCACTTGACCATCGAGCGGTAGTAGTCCAACTGCTCGTTGCTGCCGCCGCGCGGCTCGGCCGCCGCGCCAGCGCCGCTCCGCTCGAGCCGCTTCAGCTTGCGCTCGAGCGTGTCCCGCACCTGCTCCGCCTCCTTGGCCTTCTTCTGCGCCTACGACGCTCACCGCCCGCGGC